GGTGCATAATGTATTTGGTTTGTTATGAAATAATGCATGATGAAACGGGTACATGAAGAAACTGCTCCAGAATCTTGAAGATTGTAATATGCTCCAGAATATTTATGATTGCAAGGCTTAAAGGAATGAATTCATCAAATCAGGAGCGAAATAAAGAAATTAATTCACATGAAACAGGTTTCATGAAAGTGAAACAGGTTCATGACGTAATTGAACAATGAGTAGTGAACTGGTTTGATGGTGAATCCCGTTTCAGTGACGTTGAAATGCAAAATAAAACGGGTGAATAATGTATGCGGTTCGTCATGAAATAATTACATGCTGAAACGGATTCATTATGAAACCGGTGCGTCTTGAAATCATTTCATAATGAATACGGTGCATATTAACATGGTTATGTGAAGGATATTGAAACAATTTCAGGATAAGGAATAAAAAGGTTGTAACATTAGCGAAAAGTGAATAAAGTTCATTATCAATATCATGAAATAACAAATGACGCATCAAACCATGAGTAAAATTTYATGTTTTATCATAAAATTCTATGAATGCAGTAAACAGTTAAGACAATGAAACTATTTCATGTTGTATAATAAAATTTTATGAACTTAGTAAACAATGAAAATTTTTCATTATCTAAATGTAACGGATCCATCTACCAGTATAATGAAAATTACGAAATATGATCAGTATTATGTTGATTAGTTTGTTGATGAAATTTTGAAACCAATTTCGTTCATATAATGTAATTCAAATTTTGAAACGATTCATTATATAAAATTGAATATGGTGTGTTTTATTTATTTTTTTGATATATTTTATTGATGGATGTTATTTAAACGTAAAAATAATATATTGTTTTACAAAATAAAATAGTTTCATTTATAATATGATATGAAGGATATTGTTGCTTTGAACATAATGTATTTTTGTTTACCATTTTGCCCTTATTGCTAATACAAAATAAATTTTTAATATATATATTTTTTTTAATTTCCTAAAATAAAGTAAACTAATCTTGATCATTGATCAAGAAAATGAATGGATGAGATTGGTTTACACGGTTTACACAAATGGAGTTGGTTTTCATTTGAACGCTCCTCTCTTAGTTTGTTTCAAATACAACTCATCGTATTTGTACAACCAATGCAAGCCAATAAATTGAGATATTTATGAAAATGATGATAGTTCATTTATTATGATTTGAATATTTATGGAAGATGAATATGGTTCATTAATTATGATCAATACTTTATATCAGGAAACAATCAAAACTTCTATAAAATCACATATTAATCAAATGAAATGAACAGTTAAGATTGGGTTGTATTGGTTGCACAAATGCCAAGGGTTGTATAATAACCAACCTTTATATATATATATATATATATAGAGAGAGAGAGAGAGAGAGAGAGAGGGGGGGCACGTTCAAATGAAAACCATGCAATTCTTAGAAACCGTGTAAACTAATTTCGACCAAAAGGGAAATTCCATTTTTTTTCTAATTAAATTTAATCATTAAGAGTATATTGGTCATTTGCATTGTTTTCTATTAAATATGGAAGTTATTAATAAATCTTAATTAAGATAACATAATAAAGAAAATTTTATAAATGGTAATTTTTAAATATTTAATTAAGTTATAATATTAAAAATTGGATTTTGTTATATTGTGTCTCGGTTTATTATTGTCAAGATTCATGAAAATCGTAAGTTATTAGATTAATAAATCTATGAAATCAATAATAGAATAGAAAAAATATATTCATGAAAGCGGTTTCATACATGGTGAAATTGGTGCATGAAGTAAGTGAAAATGATTATGGAATTGGTGCATGATGAAAMCGGTTTCATACATGGTGAAATTGGTGCATGAAGTAAGTGAAAATGTTATGAAATAGGTGTATGATGAAATGAGTACAACATGAAATGAGTGCATCATGAAATGGGTGCATGATGAATAGGGTGCATGATAATATGGGTGCGTAAAGGAAGTGAAACCATTTCAGAAAAGATAAGAAAAAGCCTGCGTAATTAGCGAAAAGTGAACCAATTTCATTATCAATAGCGTGAAATGACAAATGACTCATCAAACCATGTTGGCTGATGAAATGGGTGATTGAAGAAAGTGAAATTGATTATAGTGTGTTTTATTTTTATTGTTGATCTATTTTTACGATGGATGTTATTTTTTATAATATTTGAACATAAAATTAATATATTACTTTACAAATGATTTTATTTCATTAATATTACGATATACATGATAAGGTTGTTACCATTTTACCCTTCTAGGGATTATAAAATAAATTATTTATTTATTTATTTTAATTTTCTAATATAACATAAACTAATCTTAACCATTGATCAAGAAAATGGATGGATGAGATTGGTTTACATGGTTTACATAAATGAGAGCAGTTTTCATTTGATCGCTCCTATATATATATATATATATATATATATATATATATATATATATATATATATATATATATATTAGTGTATATAGTTTCAAAATGTCTATTTTAGTACTGATGTTGAGATTCGGGTTCAAACAAGAACAATAGGTAAATGATTGTACACCAGAATAATCAAATCACATATGATTGTACAATAAACTCATGTGTAAAATTACATGTGATTACGCATAACCTTGCCAAGTCACCTGCACACCTTTGCGTTGACCTTGGTTGTTTCCATGTTCTCTTATTCTAATCATGTTTTTGTTTGAGCATCCCTTTGTGTTGATATAATGTATGTGAATTTTTTTCAAAAAATCCTCCATATTAAAGGCTCTTTCAAATAATAGATTATCAAACAAACAGTTTTATAACTGTAAACATGGTTTTTTAAAAGTACATACCTAACTAAAATTACGTTATTTTTATACAGAATAAACTTTGATGTGGACCTTTTTGGATATGAAAATGTATGAATACTTGTGATAATAATAGAAATGGTCTCAATTGCATTTATTGCTCCAATCAAAAGGTTTGGTACATATTCTTCTGTATTCATTTCATTCCTTTGTTTTTTTTTTTTGGTAAATAGAAGTGAACTTGAGTTTATGTTTGACCCACCTTATAATCATATCATCCATTTTCTATGATGACATGATCTATTTTGGTTGGTCAAGATTACCGTAAGTTTGATATACAGTTATATTATGATATTTATGTTTTTGACGTAGTTGAATAAGCATTTAAAATACAATATGATATATTTTACGACTCTTGCTTATGTTATGTACTTAATGGATCATATATTGTTTAATAAAATTAGTTAGTCTGTTGTATAATATTAACACGTGCAAAAGATATAGATACAAATTTAATCATAATTAATATGTTATTAAGTCAAGATGGTATGAAAAAGGGATAGAATCTCGTCGACTTGACATACTTTTCTATGATGATATTTCCCATTTTTGATTGGTCGTTGAATCATAAGTAACTTTGCTAAAATTCCAATCCCTTCAAACAAGAGATTAAATATAATTGTTATATAATGTGTATTTTGTTAACATGATAAATAAATATGTCAAAAAAAAAATTCAGGGTTCAAACATATTTAATTGATTTACAATATAAATCCAACTACATAAAAAAGAAAACATGCAGACAATCTTAGATGCTACAATTGTTATGTATCTGGTTCTACCATATTTGTAAAATACACAAATGGAATATCTTGAAACGGCTTTATTATTGTTAACATCGTTTTATCTCTTGAGATAGAGTATATGTTTGTATACATTCCAAATTTTCTTTCAAGTTGGATATATATAGGTGGACAAAGTGGTTAATCGCTCAGTCCTTGGATCACTCCCAATCTTCAGTTGCTTGAATAAACTCTATTGTAACTAATTCCGGTTTTCAGAAGAAAAAATACGGGTCGAGTGTAACTGGTCCGTTTATTAAGGAGTCATTTACTAAACATTTATCCGGTAAGTGTTGATCCGGTAATTTTCTCACTTGATGCACATGGCAATGACTGGAAAATCTTATCCGATAAGAACGATAATAAGGATAGAGAGGTCCTACCGAGTAAGTGATGGTAAGGACTCGTACACAGGCAAACGTTTACCGGGTAAATTGTGCATACGATACCGTTTTAATATATTACAATATTATCTGGTAAAATAGATTATAATATTGACTTCTACTAGTAAATGCTTACCGAGTAAGTATTTGGAGTAAACAACCACTTAAATATATTAGCTACTTGTTGGTTTCTTACTTATTTGTTTTAAATAACTGTGTTATCTATTCCAATCAAATAATATTTTATTTATATATAATTATAAATACAAAAAATGCCACAATTTTCTAAAATTCCTATAAATTATTTTCAAACATAAATATTAAGTTATGAAATTATTTATAGCTCCAAATAAAAACAGAAATTTCTATTATCCCTTGTAACTAGTTTTAGGTGCCGTTTACTAAACACTTATTTGGTAAGTGCTTACCGGGTAAATTTTTTTATCGGATGAACATGAGAAGGCTAAGAATCTTACCGGGTAAGAGCGATGAGAATGATGGAGAGTCTTACCCGGTAAGTGAGGATGACGACTCTTACCCAGGTAAGCGCTTACCCAGTAAATTGTTGCATTCGATATGTTTTGATGTACTAAAATCTTGTGCATCAAAACAAATCATAGTGTTGACTCCTATCGGTAAGCGCTTACCGAATAAGCAATTGGGTAAACGGCCCCTTAACCTTAACCAAACCAAGCCAATCCAATCCAATCCAATCCAATCCTAAATATGTATCAAAATATAATGAGTTGTATTTGGTATAATTAATCATGGGAATAAGCACTTAGAACAATTATTTTGAGAAAAGTGGAAGAAAGGCATAAAGGGACACCCATCCACCCACTACCATTAAATAGATTCTTTCTGGTCAATTCTTGATCCTCCATCCATTTCATACGGAAAAGTCTTGAAAGCACCAAAGTTCATCTTTTTAAAGAAGAGTATAAACAACTATCAAAAAAACAACAAGCATCTTGTGCCCAAATATTCGTTCTTTCTCAAAAGATCAGATCATATTCATATGAGCATAAACATTATGCACTCAAGATATCCCACCTATACACCCGATAACGATAGTTTCATCTTATATCCGTTACTCCGTATAGTAAATAAAATTGTATCAAGTACATAAAGGAATCATTACCCAAAATCTGGTAAATGGTTAATGGCTGTCTCAAGCACGTATAAACCGCCAAACTTCTGTTTTGGCCTGCTACATGAAATGACTGATCAACCCTTTATTTGGGAATGGAACAGTTAAGGACTTGGGTGCCATAATGAATAGTATCAGCACAAGATGGTAATCAAGAATGAAGGTTTCCATCTAAAGATCTTAATCAATCAATACCCCATGAAGTGCACTAGATATATCTAATAGCATCTATGATTGGATTTGCTTGTAGTGAAAAGCATTAGTAGGGTCAGATCAAGCTGGATTGGTTGAATTAGCAGTTTGGGTTTGAATATTTTTGAAGTTGAAAACACCTGCAAGCCCTTTTCCTTTAGCAAGCTGCTCAAGTTCTTGAAGTTTTTGCTTCAGACATTCGACCTCTTCTGCTAAATCTTCGTCTCGTTGTTTCATAACCTATAGCAGAAAACTGATGGCTCAGATAGCTAGTTTTTGTAGCTCTAGAAACAACAGAAAAATTAACAGATCCATGCCTAGAATTATTGCATGTGATGTGGTGATCTTGAGTTATAAAATATGTATTGGCCAAGTGGTTTGTTCTTTTTTTCGGTTTTGCATCAGCAAACATCTTCAAGTGGGCTTGAGATAGGAAAAAGATTTGTACAAAGGATAAATCAAACCAAACAAATGACTCCTCACTGAGTAGGGTCAGGGCAGGGTTAGATATACACAGACCTTACCTCTACCCCAAGGGGTAAAGAGGCTGTTTATGTGAAGACCCCGGATTGAAATAAGTTGTAGAAAGCATACTTTTGAGAAACTTTTCTAAAACTTTTGGTTCTAAAGGGCTAGTACATAGGATGTTGCATTTAAAATTGAAGCCCAATTGATGAGTTGGCCACCCTTGGAGGTTGGCTTAAGAAATATATCAACCAATATCAGCCTTTTGAAACCATAATATCACATAAGATATAGGATGACAAAATGCTTCCACCGGAAACAAGTTAAACAGCAAAAACACCAAAACCATCATTTAGTAACTGAAAATACAATTTGACAGAAGAGAAAACTGCATGACTTGAACTTTCATCTTTGCTTTTTGGTACTTGATATCATTAAACGTATACAAAAAAGATCTTGCCCCAGAATGAAGCTAAATGCGATTAAATAGCATAGATATATTATTCTATAAGAGGCATGCTAAAATTTCTTGGGCATGCCTAATCTCAGTTGTTTGATGGGTATTTTCATATTTAGCTTGTGTCCCCAATTCATGATATTAGTTTTTGGGTAAGCAGCATATAATTTCGATGGTTAAAGGATATTTAGCAGCCATAAAACTCTTTGGTTTCATAAAAGAACATAAAGGGAACCTCAATTAATTTAAGTCCTTGTTTGTTAGTGATGTAAGGTGGTATCCGTCAGGATGAACCTGACCTTATCTTGCACGTTCAGATAGACAAAGATCAAAACGTTACCTCCATTTCTTGTCTGCGGAGTTCCTCCTTTTTGGCTTCTGATCTAGAACTTCTTTGCACCTCAAAAACAAGGGCGGCTCCTGCAACCTATTTGCAAGTTTAAAACGTAAGCTACCATTAAATCATTTAAAACTTGCTACATATCCATTTATTTTAAATAAAATTTCAAAGATTGGTTAATTGCAAATCATTGTTGATAATCTTGTTGAATAGATGTAGAGGTCAAGTTACATTAATTGGTCATTTAAGGTAAACAAAAAGCTAATTGAAATAGTAGTTGTTTGATACTCCGTTCTTCCTCAAACCTAGTACTTTTCAAATGCAAAATTAATATAAATCTTGCTATGAATTTTCCATCGGTACAGTTTTATTTGAAGCACCTGTGGCTGTTACAAAATATAATGTAGTTATCAACTCCTTTTTCTGTAGGCCTTAGGATCCACGAATTTTTTTAAGTCAGCCCATCTGCAATAGAAACACGGTATCACTCTTTTCGTGAACACATGACCAACTAATAACTGCTTTAAGTGGACTGCAAAATACTAAAATGTGAACATAAAACCCATCCCTGTAGTCATTCACCATGAAACAAATAACTTCTTGTTTTTGCTAAGATCAAATAGTTAATATTTTGTACTGCTAGAAGTTGTGTACAAGATTCATGTGACCGTTTCTTGAGCTCCTTAAAGTTAAAAGATATAATCTCTTTACCATCAAAACCTATCAATTGAATTCAAACGAAAAATGTACTAGGACAAGTATTACATCATCAGCAACGTTCATAAGTAAATGATGATTCCAGATCATAAGAGAATAAAATAAATTAATTAATCAATCAGAATAAACTTAACATGAGGTTCCTGCAACCAACTTCTCTATTTTGAGTAATCTGATTGAATAATAAGATCGGACTCTAGTAGGCTGCTATACTAGCCTTGTTACCAATCGGTTTGACCACTCTCTGTGAAGTCGGAACCTTTTTTATGTTTAGATACAGTAAACAAAGACATGATGAGTTAGCTATTCTCCTTCAACCATTTATCTCATGAAGTATGCCACAGGAAGAAAAATATACCACACTCCAGGAGTTGACTATGTCTACCGCATTATGCTTGATTACTTGATGCGAGTACCAAGCACTTTTTTATGTATGGAATACATGTTATGTTGGATATTCTCAAACAAGGGTTAAGTAAAAGAGAGAATGGACCATATTTAAGACAAAATCTTGTATGTAATCAAGTACTTCGATTAGCATATGGTGTAAAAAAGAACGGAGATCTGCGATGCAGACATCGCATGAGTTTGCAAGGAGAGATAACGAGCATTGGTTACAAATTTGATAACGAGCATTGGTTACAAATTTCTTTAGAAAGCTGTAGGGATGTCTAGTGTCGTCCAAGATATTCTTGGATTTTATTGTATCTTAGAGCTTTCTAGAATACTCTTATTATTGTAACTTTAGGAGGTGCAGTCTCCCATAAAAAAAGAAGAGCTTTCATTTGTAACACATGCACCAATGCTCTCATCTACCCCATCAATACATCCATCCAATGGGAGGGGAGGGTCAGAGAAGTTATTAATTGTAGTTAAAATAAACCAACGAAGTGTGCTCTTAAGTTCTCACTACAAACTTGTCTCTTGCACTCTTGTCTAGTAGTTCATTCTCTTGCAGGTGAACGTTGATTCTAAGGCCACACAGATTGGTTAGGAAAAATTAGGTCAGTGCCAATAGTTTTGACAAATGAAACTATGGTCAAAGAAAACAAAGTGGTTTAACTCTTGGTCTATTGGTTAGTTAACGCTTCTAGGACTATTTAACTCCTCTGAACATATGATGATATGAAACATGCAAATCCCTCCTTCACTAGATAAGTTGGCATGCACGGTGATAAAACATGGAAGAAATCTAGGCTGGACAAGCTGATGCTCAGGTAAAGTTTGTGTAGCAACTCTAGGATAGGACATTTTTCGTAAGACTTGACAAAATGTGGTAGTCAGCTTTAGTATCATCTAGAATTTAATAAATATCAGAACCATTTCAAAACTTAAGGAAACCAAATTGTTAATTGAACTTGCATTTTAAGAAATCATGTTTCTTTTGACCAGTCAAAGGTGTAGCGTTAGTGATTTTCTAGTCCTAAAAGCAGCTACTTCCATTTTACTCATGTAGAGATTTTTCCATGTTCTTCTTCCAATAAATGGTAAGATTTTCACTTTAACAAGCTTCTCTTAAATGGCACACGTGATTTCAACGACTCTAATTACTTGGAAATTTATGTACCCAGCAGGCCAGCAATTAGGCCATTCTTCAACTTTATGTATCATTCCCAAACCATTAAGGATCAAGGTTTTCACTTTTTAACATTGATGTTCAGATTGAAAAGCACAAAAAAAGTAATCACAGCCTTATACGAGCTTTCTGATTGTGAACTGATAATTTGGTAGCGGGCGTTATCCTTTTGCTGTATCAAATTAATCAGTGTCCCTAGATCTTGCATCATTTATCTTCGCAAAGGCCAAAAGTTACTACTCTTTGCATCAGTTCTTTTACCACATTTGAGGTTCCTGGCATTTCTTTCTTCTGGTATGTGCAACTCTTCTCTAACTACTGGTAAATTAGGAGACTTGAAAAAAAGTTAACACCATGAAGAAGATATTAGCAGCAAACTGTATACCGCGAAAACAAAGAGTTCGCTAATAAGGTCCCCAGCTGCCTGCACGGCTTTCTCCTCATTCAAGGGCCGAATTTCAACATCTGTTGCATGTCCATAAATTCGCCTTTGTATTGTTGTTGTTAGCCGGTGGTTTGCCTGTTCCATTACACAACACCAAGGGAACACATAATTTGAAATTGGTCTATATACAAAATCCAAAGATGGAATATGTTGCAGCAGAAGCAGGCAACAGAAGTCAAGCAACATTCATAATGTTTAGAAATACAAACAGAAAGGTACTAATCTACAATGTAGGTACTTGTGTCATAAGATGAACCAACACTTGAGCAAAAACTCAAAACTGTACCAAAAACTCAAAAAAGTAACTACCAATGTAGTATTATGCCTGGGGATGTTAAAGATAGAAGAGAGGAGATGTTTGGTAGTTGTAGGTTAAATAAAGGAACAATTTAACTTTTCATTTTTCTAAGGAACTACAGCAAGGATAACAAGATGAGCCTCAAAGACAGCCACATCTTAAGATCTCATTGCATTATAGCTATCTTTGAAAAAGCACCCATGGCTTTAAAGTCTGCGAAAAAATTTCAACTTCTTTCGTCCTACAAAACATATATCATGATAATAATGAGCATTAATTATTAGAGAAGCCTGACGTTGAAGGTTGAAAAGCTACAAAGACAAATCTGTATCAGTGATATGTCGTTCACGATAGGGAGAAAGTGACTATTAAGAGGATGACAAGCACTAACATGATGATCAATATTGGATATATGTTAACTGGTTTTGATGTGATAACCGGGTCCTGGTTATGCACCTAAGGTAATTATTATATGATACCTCATTATATGATAACGTAAATATTTCATTAATTGCTATAATTGATCATGTGGATACATGCTTACATGAAATTAATATGTGAGTGTGCGTATATTTTTCATGCATGGAAGGTATGTATATGTATTATGCATGAAAAGTTGTATGTATGCACGGAAATATATGTGGATATTACATGTATGGAAATGTGTATGCATGTTTTATGAATATGCATGCATAAAATTATACATGTATGTCGTTATTACATGTGCATGCATGAATTAAAGTTATGAAGTTGTGTGTGTGTGTGTGCATGTGTGTACATGCATATTCTATGCATTGGTGATGGGTTAAGTAAAGAAAAAGAATTTCATAATTCTTTTATAAGACCGCCTTCCTCTTAAGGAAGGTATAAATAGGGAAATTTTTTAAAGGCAAGTTCTTCCTTGCCATTTTGGGGAAATTGATACAGTAAGTGAAATCGTGTGGATTTCTGCTATATTTGGAAACTGGATTTTTGGGGATCGAAGTAGAAGCTGATTTGATCTGCTGTTTTCTTCTTCAAAAATCTTTGCTTGCAAAGGTGAGTTTTACTTTATCAAAAACAGCCTTGAATCTATTTTGATTACTGGTTTATAAGCTTTGAAATGCTTATGTATGTATTTTAAATATTGTATATGTTCTTGTTGATCCTCAATGACCGATAAGAACTTGTAATCGGACAAGTGATGTCCGATGAGGGTCCTTACCGGCTAAGCTTTGGCCGGTGAGGAGTTTTAGTAATTTATGTGTTGAACGATGAGGTCTTATCGGACATAGCCTTGTACGATAAGGACTCTTTCGGACATAACGTTGTCCGGTTAATTACTCATCGCTCATTGTGTTGTATAATGTTTGTAGGGGTTAAGTGTTGACCAGTGAGAACTATATCCGGACACTATGTTCTCCGATAAGGGTGCATCCGGTTAAGTGTTGTCCGGACAGCAGTGTCCGGCTAAGGTTGTCCGGATAAGCTTGTCAGACAGTGTTGTCCGGATAAGAGTTGAACGATGAAGGGGTTTATTGCCAAAACTTGTGTTTTAAAATGGTGGTAATTCACAAAGGTGCTTAAACAGTTTTAAACTGTTATATATTGTAAAAAAGGTATTTTATATATTTTTATGAACTGGGAAAAAAAATACTAATGTTTCTTCCAAATGTGGTGACATAAGTCTGTTCTGCTACGAAACTCTGTTTTGAGAAATATTTCTTCCAGACATGGTGACATAAGTCTGTTCTGGTTCGAAACTCTGTTTTGAGAAATGTTTCTTCTGTTTTGGTACGAAACTCTGTTTTGAGAAATAGTTCCCCCAGACATGGTGACATAAGTCTGTTTTGGTATGGAACTGGGTACTTCCAGACGTGGTGACGTAAGTCTTTTCTGGGAAAAAACCCTGTCTTAAAGAGGGAATAAAGGTGGCATATTAAGGAGAGGTGTACATATGAATATAAGGGTGGCATTTGCGGGTGTGATTAACATTATAACTTTTTGTTATTACCACCATGAGACGCAATAATTCCAAATCAGCATTTCTTCGTGATTTGATGATTTAGAGGCGTTGCTCTTATGGAAATAATAACATTGATGTTATTGAAGAGGAAAATGATTTATAGCCAGAGGCATTAATTGCCTATGATTCCAAATAGTTTTTATACAAGTTTGCGAAGATACAGAGGGGCTCTGGTTGGTCTTTATGATGGACCAGACGACCTCTGGTTGTGTGGGAATTCTTCCTAAGTATTTTGGGGTTTCATGACCCAGAGGCTCTGTATGTATTATATAGAGGCTCTGTATCATGAAAATGGTATGTACGCATTATGCGTTTGAGTTTTGTATGCGAGCTCTTTAGTTGAACTCTGTCTTTTAAAACTAAATCTTTTCTAAATCAAATTCTTTTAAATATCTTTTATAAAGTAAAGAGCCAGAGGAGCTCTGGTTATCGTTTTACTATTCTTTTCTTCAAAAATCAAATGTTGGACCAGAGGCTCTGGTTGTCCAGAGGGTCTCTGCTTGAGATTAGACTTGTACATTTGGGGGAAGGTACAGAGGCTCTGGTTGGTAAGAGCAAAAGCTCTGATCAACTAGAGGGACCGGTTTAAGAGAAGAGCTATGTTCCTTAAGGGACAGAGAAGTTCTGGCCCGTTAAACCAGAGGAATTTTATAACTTAGTGTTCTATTAAGAGATACAAATTTCAGGGAATGTGTTTATGTATTATGAGAATCTGTTTGTTTTATAATTTGAGTAGCAAGCAAATTTGCATCCTTTTGCTGAAATTTAATTATTTATTTGCAAAAGATGTTTTAAACAGGATTTGATGATCTTCACCCTGTAATTGCAAAGAAGAGATTTTCTCACTAGACCTTTCGGTCTAACCCTCATTTTATTTTGAAAATGTGCATTGCAGGAGCAACGGGGTCTCAGGATATTAAGGGGAAGGGGAAAATATGATTATTTTCCTTATGTGTTTTATCTGCCTTTCGAAGATTAGCCTGTTGCATGTTATATTTTGAAGTTACATGTTGATATACATGTGTAGTACAGGGATATTCTTTTGGAATTTTTCAGTAGTAAATTATGTAGATATTCCTTGTACTAGTGGACCTATGTGGTGTACTCTATATTTCTTTTATATGAAATATATGTCATATGCCAATGTGGAGAATGGGATGTTACATTTGACTTATAAGCACCTAGCACGATCTTAAAGTCAGACAACGTGATGGGAACGGTAAGGGTGTTGGTGGCAATTTGAAGAAATAAACAATGGACAATTATGTATTGTCATCTAGAGATACATAAGTTTATTTATTTGATAAGATACCAGGGAACAAATTAGAGTGCTTATGTAAGCCAGAGTTTAGGTTAACTATTTTGGTTGTTATGATATTATCAGCTTTAACATTTAGCTACACATTAGTTAGGATGATTATTTTAGTTTTTTTTCATTCATTTGTAGCTTCGCTAGGTCTAGAACTCCAAAATGTTCTTACAATTTGATTATTCTGGTGTAACGTTTAGATACATTAATCAGGATAATTGCTTGGGTTCTTTCATCCATTTGTAGTTCTGCTAGGTATAGAACTCCAAAAGGTTCTTACGCTTTCATTATTCTGGTCGCTATCAGGATAATTATCAGCCGTAACATTTAGCTACATTAGTTAAGATAATTATTTAGTTTTTTATCCATCATTAGCTCTGCTGGACGTAAAACTCTACATTGTTTTTACATTTGATAATTTTGTGAGTTTGGCTCCCATGGATGATCTTGCAAGGGTAGGCGAAATATCTTAGTCTCTGCTTTCTTTTGCTTTTCTCACCAATTCTATACCCTTTCTGTATCATGTTTCATGTCCTACACTATCAAAGGGAAAACCTGGAATTTTCAAGTTTTGGGACAACGCCACCTTGATAGCCTTAATCATAGGTCTTCCCAAAAAGCCAACCACTTCTATTCCTTCTCCACTTTCAATTCCCACAATAAAAGGATTTTCTTAAGAAATTAGCTTGTCCGAAAGTACTCAATTGCCTAGCTAAGGTCCAAACACAAATAGTTGATTTTCAAACAGCATGAAACAAAAAGATTGGGAAGATCATCATACTACTTTGGGAGAAGCCACCAAACCCGAAGCCAATACTACCAATGCTCAAGAAGAGAAACATGTTGAATAAAATATGAGTGAGAAGATTGATTTTCTGTTTCCTAGACACTTATTTGAGTCCCAACAAAATCAAAAGCTCATGCTTATTCCTTGTCTGGAAAACAGTGCCCAAAACATACAAGAAGATATTGCAAGCTCCAAATGATGCATCATCTTTCATAATTTATATCACTCATCACCAAATTCTGCAACAATGGCTATGAATCATTTCGACTATATAGCGTTTAAAGTTTTTACCTTTAGTGTTATTTCTATGGTGTATGAATCTTTCACAATAGTGGGCTGTAAAATCAAAATTATGATCAACAAAAATGTGTTTTGGCCACAAATTCCTTTATTTTAGTGTGTTATTTCTATGGTGTAAGGATATTTCACTACATTGGGTTGTAAAATCAAAATTGTGATCAACAAAAATGTACTTTAGCCACAAATTCCATTACATTAGCAGGTGTGACAATGTTGGTACCCTGGCCATTCAAAATTTTCCATGATGTTAAGTCATTTAGGCTTTAGCTAATATAACGCATTCACGATTTCTATTTATATTTAAACCAAACCAAACAAGCCAAGTAAATCTCACAGAAAGTAGGGTTTGAGAAGGGTATGATGCAGGCAAACATTTCCTCCAAAGAGTAAGAAGGTTGTTTCCATGAAGACACCCGACTTGCAAAAAAGCGTAAGCAGAAAGAACAGGCACTGAAAACAAGAAAAAAGACCCTACCTATCTCAGGACTCTAGCTGCTCCCCCATCCTAACCTCTACCTTTCCAACCCCCCCTCCCCTGACTACAATAACACCAACCTGATAGAATCAGCTACCTTAGTCCTACATCTCCACAAACTCCTATTTGAGGTCATGTCTTCAAAAATGCCTAAAGTCGCCATATCCAGTCTCAAGTGCTCATCCCACATCCTCCTTGGTTTGCCACTCCTCACCCCTTCGACCATTGTGCTCTCCACCCTCACGCACCGGGCTGACATATGCCTCCTACAAATGTGTTCCCAAACCACCACTACCAGTCTTCCCTCTCTCAATTTATCCATGATAGTCGCTACTCCTAAGTCCTAACTCTGTTCAGAAGACCTCATTTGATATCCTGTCCAACATGGTCCAGCCATAGGTCCATCGGAGCATGCTCTTTTTTGCAACTTCCAACTTTCTCGCATGCACCTTTTTCATCGCCCAACGTTTTGCCTCTTACAACATAGCTGATATGATGAATCTCTCCTTATCAAAAAATTTTAAAACTTGTGCAGTTCACAAGCATAAAAATGGAAATTTTATTTTATTTTATTATATATGAGGATTACATACATTTCTAAGTCATTGTAGCAAAACCTTAAATGACTAACATTTTGGAATGGAGGGGTTAATTTTTCATGTTTCAGCTCAACTGCAATCTAATGTGGAAAATATTGCTCGTAAAAAGAATTATTAGTTGACCTACGCGAAGTCTAGCTCTACATTTTACGATTTTGGTACCATTACACTTTGATATGACTAAAAGCAGTGAAATATAGAATAAACCCTAATACCCAATGACAACGAGTACATGTACACTCCTACCAGTTCAATTATAGATAGATAGAAAGAAATAAAGGTTCCCTCATCAATTATAAAAGCCCATATGCTTAATCAAACAATCAAATACACAGACAGAAACAGAAACGAAGAATCAGTACGAATGTGAAGCAGTGGAAGCAGTTGACTACCTGCGCGAAACTAATTATCGATGTTCGAAACTTGGGGTGAAGGGCAGCTTGTTGTTTGAGCCTGCTGGCAATGGGTTTGCTTAAAGTTTTTAATGCGAGCGTTCCAAGCTTCAATAGCGGGAGAACCATTGCTCTTCCGTCCCGATCTGGTTATTTGTTCTTTCTTGTAAAAGAATGGCGCACACCAAGTGTTTGATAATCTGTCTAGATGAGGATGAGATCAAGAAAACCCATAAATATGATATGCTCCATCCAAAGACGATGAATAAGGTGGATTGCTATGATTTTCTTGGAGATGAAGCTAAGAGAAGGGTTCAGTGGGAAGAAGGTTGACGGCTGCGGAAGGAAGCAAAGTCTGCGTTTCCTTGGCGTTTGATACGAATCTGACCACCGGTTCGTTGACTCGTAAATTTCTCGCATTTTCAACGGGGCAAAACGCGGAATAAATGTTAGAAGTGGATATCACAAGACTTGTTAATAATTCGTTTGGTAAATTTATCAAATTATATAATAATAATAATATGTCGAAAAATTATTAAACTCACAAACGTTAAATGACCTCTCAATGTTTGTTATAATTCGTGATTTCAGCTTAGTTGGTTAACTATTGGTTTAATGATGTCATTTTTGTTTCAACAAATTAGAGATGGCATTACCCGACAATACCACTTCATCCCCCACCGATTCCATTGTTCAAGTGCTTGCCATGCATGGACTAAATTCGTGTGTTTGGAATGGATTTGATTTGTTGGTTCTTCAAAGTGGGAAATGAAAGGCATAATGTAAAAGGTGTCAACGTTTCCTTACGACAACAAGAATTTTGATGTTGAGACGTTACATCGAGAAATTATGGGTTGTGCTAAAAGCGATGATGGATGTGATGCAACTCAACTTAATAGGCAACATGCAATTTGATCGTTTGATCCAAAGAAGGTTGTCCTCCGGGTATGTGAGCTTTTTCGTTTTCTTAGAATTGGTCGCTCTCTCTAACATCTTTAAAAACTATTAAGGAGAATTTTAGTCTTTTTCATTTTATTCTCATTTTTCATTTCGAAAATAAAAAATAATCAATATGATAATATTATATATATTTTAAATGAACGTATATACATACACGACAAATTCCATCTGCAAAAGTCAAAGGCCCCAAACCCGTGACCCCATTCGTTTTGAGTTCGTTGCAACTCCATATGCCACAATAGGGTTGAAGTACTACTCATCGATGGTTATTGTAAGTTTCTATTTATAGAACTTACTTTAAACATTATTATTTAATAGTATCAAAATTTTATTCACTTGTTAACCCATCTCATATTCTCCACCCTACAAGATTGATCATGTCACGAGCACATCGAACATCTAATTAGTCCTTGTAGATATTCTGGACAATGACGTCAAATCTGACTAGCTTGTAATCATTCTCGATACCACTTTCTCCAATATATCTAGTACTTTGTCCCTCAAATCATAATACATTCCAATTATGTTTCTATAGAATTCTCACTTACCCCATAATCTCATGCCTTATGGTCTAGTAACAATATACGAACCCCTATTGAATTGACTCGTCAAATATATGACCTGATCATTAACATATACCCCCTCACATATATCTATGCCTCCCCTTTATTACTTAGATATCTCAACTAAATTCTCAATGTCCCACCGCCCTTGGTGTGTCTTGACTTATTGTGGCATCAACATCTTGTGGCATCTAACCCATACAATGCCTTCGTTAAGCATTCCGACTTCTACCCTTTCCTTTCTCCTAGAGTAATCATGAAGGCAACATTTAAATCTTGTTGCCCTTATTGTTGGTCCCTTGAGGGTCTACAAGATATGTATAACAGTTTGTAGAAGGGAGGAATGAATACAAACATAAAATTTTCAAATTTAAAATGTATATTGATAAGAGAAGATCAATACAAATTTTACAAGACTGTTTGCAGAAAGATAAGGTAAAAAAAGCTATCTAAACAATCTTTGGTTACACACATAATCTTAGCAAATAAGAAAAGAGATGTTGTAAAGAAAATTTCTTTTACTTAAGCTCTAGATTGCTCAAAGTAAGAATTAGGTTAAGAGAGTGTGTTGCGCACACACTCTGCATGGAGAAGAAATACTTCTATTTATACCCAATGCATTAAATGTTCATTTAATGCAATATGGTAGGGTTAGAGTGCGTGTCAAGCCTTAAGATGAAGGCTTGTCCTTTGCTACAGTGAATAGTACAAAAAGACTATTCATGAGCAGACATCCTTACCTAAAGTTGGTGGGTAATAGAGTCAACCAGTCGGCTCCGTACCGTACTAACATTTAGAAAGGGTATGGGTTTGTCCTTTGTGTGCATAAGGACAAGACAACAACAATCGTGCTTGGCAAAGCTTCCTTTGTTCGTTGAATGCTGGAATAACCTGGAGGTCTCTTCAGTATCCGTTGAGGCTTGAGCAGTCTTCACACATATATAGACAGACTTGTAATCACTGAGTACCGCTTCATATCACGTACTCGCCAGTCTCTAATCTTCAGTTTCAGTCTTCGACTTTGGCTTAAGGTTCTTTGGTGTGAGTGTTGTCTTCTTGAAGTATCGCTGTCTCTGATTGAATTACAATACAGGTTCTTCAGCGATCACTGAACAGGCTCAGTGATGATTGTTGGAACTGAAAAGACAGAAACATAAATACAACGTACAAGTGAAAAGGGATTATCATCAAATCACTGAGAGAGAGGATCAACAATCTCCCCCTATTTGATGATAACAAGACAACATAAAGAAAGTTGTCTTATCAAATAACAGTAAGGAAAAGTTACATATAAAGTACATGTCCCTTTTTACTATTTTGGGATCTTTTTCAGTGAGTCAGTCTTAGCTTGAGAATTTTCTTTAAGTTATATCTAAGTGAAAATTACAATGATGAAAACTGAAACTAAAGCTTATTCACTGACTTATATATTGTCAGTGAATGTAAAAAGTAACACTGGAACTCATAGACTTGTGTCCTTATTACTTTTTTCAGGGATCTTTTTCAGTGAAGTACAAGAAATACTCATTTTATTATCATTGTTAATATTACAAGTACTTTAGTACATGTCTAATACTTACAGACTAGAAGATTAATCACTAAAAGTAGACATAGTAAAATAGATTTACAAGGAAAAGTGAACAATATTACAAAGAGAAATTAATCTAGAACACTCAGATCTATGTAGCTAGGTACATTTTCACCAAGGTTTCTTCGATGTAGGCATTCCCTTCGTATCTTCAAGTCCATGACTTTTCCAGACATGCTATCATCTATCCAGAGTAAGAGGTAAACCAGATGACCCATTAGACATAGATGTAGCTATGAAATTCTCTGAAATTTGAATTCACCTTCATAGTCAAAGAATATAACTCCTAACTCAGGTTTGAAATGCACAGTGTTAGGTGTATAGGGATCCTTATCTGGCAAGTCAAGATTCAGCATAGAAATGTCTATACTCTCATGACCCTTCAGGATTTCATCTAAGGAGAACATTGTTTCATGTTCGTTCCTAAGGAATGGTCCATCATTAGGATCAGAGAGCTTTTGTTTCTTCTTCCCACCTTTCTTCAGAGAAGGCCTGTTAGGGACTGCGACATAACTGGACTCCGTTTGATGAGATCGTTGATGGTGTTCTCGATAATCGCCTTATGTCTTGACTTGGATCGCTGAATGGCTTGCCTGATCTCCATCCATTCGCTGTATCCATATTGGCCAAGGTAGGAAGGATACTCGGTGATGACATCGAGATTGTCCCTAGTGATGAGCATTGAGACCAGTGTTCCACCGTCTTTTGAACGTCTGCTGATGCTGACGCTGATGATCGGGCTGGGACTGACTCTTTTCTTCAGCTTTGCTTCGCTCCATCGCTTGTCCTTTTCCACCAGCTTTAGGTTCTTCTCATGCTCAGCTTCTGCAATGGAAAGAAGTTTAGCCTGGGCTTGGACAACGTTCACCTTCTTCTTGGACTTTCTCTTGGGCAGAATCTTCTCAGCTAGTGGCTTGGCCAGCTTTAAGTTGTTTTCAGTCTGCTTCCTCTGAAGCTCAAGTTCTTCTTCAGCCCTTAATGCCTCGATTCTTTCAGTTTCTGAAAGGAAGTCAAACTCACCACCACTAGAGGTACGGAGAGGGATTTTTACTCTAGTCTGGTCGAGTGACTCCTTTAACTGAGCCATCTGCTGGTCGGTGGGAGCACTAGAGACAGGGTTTTCAGGGACCCACTCTAGTCGACCGCAAGTAGTTGATGGAATTTGAAGTTGATACAAAGAATTGACTACTACCTGAGAGGTAGATCTTCAAACATGGGTTGAGAGATATTGAAAAGTACCTTTAGATTCCTTTCTTCAGCAACCGCTTTGCCTTTCGACTTGTAGTCCTGGTTCTTTGATGGAGCAGACTCTCCTTCCTTTTGCTCCCCCTGGGATGCAGAATCCTTGAGGGCGACTCCCTTGGTGGCGGTTGTTAGCTTTTGATACTTAATGGTAAAGTCATCTTCATCATCATCACCATCTAGGTCACTTCTGGGGTCTGGGATAGCAGGTTCGTCATCTTCATCATCATCATCATCATCACCGGCAGCAGCGATGATGGGAAGAGCATCATCCCTAGGGATGACATCGACTGCCTCAGCTGAAACAACTTCGGTGGTCGGGATTACAGGAGCAGCAACAACTTAAGCTCTAGGAGCTTCAGCTTCAGCTGCAGAGAATGTTGGAGCAGCAGCAACAGCAGGAGCAACATCAGATGGTCCAGCAGCATTAGACCTCATCTCCCCCTCTTTGGCTAAGATTTGAGAGTATAAGCAAGAGAGTTCGTCCATGCGCTGATGCTGGAAAACCATCATTTCCTCTAGCCTTGACAGAGCACTGACTAGAGTTGTCATTGCCTCACGCGTCTCATTGAGCTGAGCACGATCATCAGCAGAGAATGAAGGCGGGATTACTGGAGCTGGTTGACGGACAACATCCAGGATCTGCTGAAGAAGTCCCGCCTGCTGAAGAGAGAGAGCCTGAGCATCATCAGCCCTGCTGGAGAGAACATCAATGGCTTCAGTGTTGGCTCTAACAGCATCTTGGAGAGTCAAGAGCTGACTCTGAACTTCTTGAACGTCTGCTCGGAGGGCTGAGAGGTCCGCTTCAAGGTCAGCCTTGCGGGGCATCTCTCGGTGAACTTCAGTCATCCTGCAGAAAACTGAATCAACGGCTAGGAGGAGGAGTTTGACATCAGATGCCATGTCATAGTCATCATTAATCTCTTCATCCCCTCCGTCTGCTTCTTTCTCTTCTTCTTCCTCATCTTCTTTGGCATCTGGCTGATGCATAAAAGAAGGACCTGCAATAGAGGGAGGGTGAGCAACAAGAGGCTCAAGG